AACAAAATGGTTTGAGTTCATTACACAATACTACTTATACAGTATTATTCAATAATACTGTTCCAGCTTACGTAAAAATTCAACTGAAGGACAGACCTTGGGAACAGAACTCAGTTTAGATAGATACAGAATGCCTCTTGTCATTATTCACCATTGCCTGCTGGAAGCAGAGAAAGGAGTCTGCATTTATTGACATAAAGGTACTTACGACATTCTATTAAATAGTGTTAATCACCTCTGCTTAATCAACCTATTAGCACTTTGGAAAAGTTTCCTTGGATTTATAAAATGAATGGGGTACTGCCACATTCAGCCAAGTGGAGAAGCACAAGGCAGCTATTGATCAAATTCAGCAGAGTAAATTGAGAAACAAAGAAACTTTTGTGAAGCTTAATACTATCATATAACAGGATACCGAGCACATATTCAGCAAGGTGCTAGGGAGATGCTGAGATGCTGGTGTTCCCAGAAAGGTCTGGACAAACCGAAGGGTTATCAGGGACCCTCAGGAAGCACTCAGCACCTTGAAAAATCAACCCAATTTAACCAAAGTTACCTTTTTAAAGGAGATGGGGGACCAGTAGAGAAATCTTTCAGCAAAACAGCATCTCCAGTTACGGATCTCATAAATGGGCATAGTTTACAGCTGCACCGAAGTTCAAGCTTCTCCAATAGTAAGGGCAATATATAAAATATTTCATTTGCTCAAGGGCTCTGTTTTAACTGCATAGCTTGATATGATTTCTACTTTTTGCTACCACTTGACTTTGCCCTCATTCCTGGTCACCTCACTTTTCCTCTCTTGGTATTGATCTTGGGATGAGGTACACCATACATTAGGGTCATGGTAAGGGACAGATGATTCATAAGAAATGTCCTCTCTTAGCTCCTTACCACTATGGTACTTGACATGAATAGGAAATCAAAAGGATAGGAATATACAACATCTGCAATGAGCTACAAAGGAGCTAAGGAACGTGAATTGCTGGCAGATGGTTTTGCCCATCTCTTTCAAACATCACTCACCTACAACTCCCAACAGCTTCAGACAGCATGCAAAGGATTGTGGGAGCTGTAGTTCATCAGCATCTGATACAACAGAGGTTCAACATCCTTAATCTAAAGTTGCCCATAGACCATACATTCTATCATGATACATATCCAAGAATGGCTAAGATAAAGAAGTGTTTCCTTAGTGCATCACACTGCTAACAAGTTTTCATCTTCTGTTCACATATACAGGGACTAAAGAGGAAAGTGACTCAGAACAACTACACACAAACACACCGCCTCATACTGAAAATTCGGCACCACTTTCCTTCATGTAGAAGGCTGCCATGTTCCAAGGTATGGCATCTAACAGGACCATAACAGTTTCACATGTTGGGACAAGAATCCATGCAATGTTGCATAAACACAGGCAATTTTCTTCCCAAGCCACAACCACATATTCTGTGCAGAGAGAGGACTGGAACAAGCCTGTCACTGACAGATCAAGCTCAACAGAAAGAGATGTCATGTAGACACAAATACCCACACACACTTGCCACAGAGCCTTGAAAATAGGAATCTGTGAGAAAATGCGGAGCAGAGATTGAACAGCTTTGGTTTCCTTGGCTCCTGATCAGCAGTTTAATTATAGTAACTTTTCAGTCAACTTAAAGTGCTCATGATAAGCTCAGCTGTAGCAAAGTAGCCTAGATTGCTCTGTTTCACTGCCTTCTTCTTCTCTTTCACCCTTCCATCTCTCCTCCCTCCCCCAAATATCCAGAAAAATAGAGAGGGAGTAACAACTATTTACCCAGGAAAAAGAAAAGATATTGCATATATACAGTAATGCTGCTGACGTTTTGCAAAATCAAAGCTCACATGGAATGACTCTAGGCATATGGGCAACCAAAAATGATGAGTCTGGGAATTTTTTAAAGGAGAATTGCCCAACTGGTGACTTAAGGGGACTCTGTAGCCCATCAACATTTGCCACCACGTTTTGTCATTTTTAGTAGGATAGGAAGAAAATATTATTAAGTGAAATACAGTGCAGTCAGAAAGTATTCAGACCCCCTTCACTTTTTTTCAATTTTGTTATGTTGCAGCCTGATACT